AGAGGGTGAGGTAGGACGTGGTATTGCTTAGACGGGCGCGTTGTTGCCGGCGTCTGGACTCATTCTTTGGATAGCGCGTTTTGAGTAGTGCTTTGTACACTTCCAGAGTGCTTGGTGGGCAGTCTCGCGGTTGTGCGGGTTCGATTGGGGATATATCATGTCCTGCGTGTACATAGGTACAGCTGCGGAGGAGTCGGCCAATGAGGTTCCTCCGGGCTCCGGATACTGGGGGCTGACTTCATCAGGCTTCAAGGCTGCAGCAGTCGAGGCTGTGTAAGCGCCCCGAACATACGCACCTTTCTTGCTTTTGCTGAGGCCGGCAAGCCTTCGATCGCGCCGGAAGCATGGCTTTCTTTTCGAGAATCTTGTTTAGACGGACAAGATATACATGAAAGTTGAACATGATGCCGAAAGCGCCAACATGAAGAAACGCAACAAGTCTCTCCGCCAGGTGTGCCGAGCTGAGCCGTCCAACCTCCAATGGACAACTTGCTGACTGGTTTCAGCGGATGAATGTGTGTTGTCTGCTGTTTGCGGAATGTCTGGTCTTCATCGCAACTTCACCATATTTCCGCATCTTCAGCCGGAACACCCGCCGCCCGCTTAAAGAGCTCGCCGAGACGGCAGACGAGACGGAGATTAAAGAGTTCCTGTTGAAATGGACTGTACTGAAACTAAGAGAAGCCCAATATGTTCAAGTAGCTGTGAGCCAGCCTTCTCAGTTCACAGCAATTCCCTCCCAACTGACATGCTGCCAGGGCGCCGTCATCTTCGCATCCGTAATTAGCTGTCTCTCTTGGTCCAACATCGAGAACGCCCACTGGTCCGGTCCCGCACTCTGGTATGCAAGCATCGTGTTTGCCATTCTGGCCGTCGTATTGGGATCACAGCACAGTATGCTGTTGCCGGATATGACGACTCAGATTGACAAAGACTGGAAAGCAATCCGAGAAAGCATGACTGTAGGCAATGCGGATGGCACGCGTCGTCCGAGCAGTATTACGATGTTCGCTTGGCAAGGTCCTACGATGTGCTTGAGCTACTCGCTTGTAGCGTTCATGGCCGGGCTAATGTCTGTCGTGTTCAGTCCGTGGGCGCAGAATATGGTATGGGGTCCGGAAGCAAAGGTAGGATTCTGCCGATTACTTCGATTCTGGCTTGGTATACTAAGTGTTAAGGCAGACGGCGACGCTCTTTCTTGTTGTGACATGCTTCTGTTTCGTTACGTTCGTTGGCTGCTCATACTCTGTGCACAATTCCGCGCCTGGGGGGTAAAGCGCCCAATGCTCGAGAGGTGCGAGTACGTATCCAAAACGATGGATATCCTCCGAGTGTTGTCGAATATCGTGTATCTGCTTACGCTCAAAGATTGGATTGAGGTCGGACTCTGCAACGCTTCAAATACGTTCCCGGACACGAAGAGGACTCGCGCGACACAACGAGTCTACGAATCCGTCACCGAAAGGTTTGAGGCGAGCAAAAAGAAAGTAGCTGAGGCCGGTGTTGATCCGGCGGCCTCCGGGTGTCACTATATGAGCCTAGCTATGGGTCTAATGAGTCACTGTGCTACAGGTGTTGAAAGGTTGTATAACTTACCGCGCTTTCCACTACGCCACTCAGCTATTGAAAACTTACTGTGCTAGCTGCACATGCCACTGTCTACTCTATTCCCTCATCTTTGGAACATTACATACGTACAGGTTTTTGGGCAAGCCTTGGTCCACAACACCGTTCGAAAAGCTGGGCTGGACCACCCATATTACTCGCAGTACAAAGCAAGAACCGAATGCCAATTACTTCATATTTTTTGAGAGAGCATGCAAGTCTTCGACATGGAACAAGTATTCGTATGGAGTGTAAAGGCTATCTACATCCTCGTCCAACCATCGAA